ATCTTTTCTCAGACTCGTGTGCTCGCGGAATGCACTGTACCATTGGTTGAGCTCCTCATCCCACCTTTTTGCATCTGTCGTGACTTCAATTTCAAAGCTGTGAGGGGAATGACATTTGATGGATCTGCACTGGTTAGAGCAATGTTCATAAACATGAGAATCAGAAAATTTCGACATGTTTTTTAAGATTCGAATTGATTTGGGAAGCCGCGATAGAAAGTTAATGGAGAAGCTAAAGGAACTAAGAGATCCTTTATTAGAATCGACCTATGTGATTCATGGTGTTAGGTGGGGCAATTTTCATTCTCAAGCCTGTTCTATCGAGTAATTCTGATTCAGCACTGAAAAACTCGCCGAAGCTCCTTCAAGAGATTGCCTGCAGTTTCAAACTGGTGAAAATAGACCTCCATCCAAGCATTTATCACCTCGTATGTGGTGGAGGTTTCTTTTCTGATGAAATTATATAGCTCCCCTATTTCAGGTGGAGTTGCCCCAAAAATTGGTGCACTACCTCTGCATGAAAGGATTCCGTCAAACCTTAGCGATACATCGGATTCAGTCTTTGAATACCCTACGAGAACCAAATTCCATCCACAGCCATCGCGAAGACCAATGGATTCTGGAAGAGAATTTCGCCCTGCAGTGAGATCAGACACGTCATCGACTGCAAGAGAAAGAGAGAGAACAAGTCCACTAAGCAAATCTTTCATCCAGCTTACAGTTCATGAAGCGAGAGGTTTACCGCCGGTTTTGGATGAAAGGTTTGTGATCTTTGACCATTTCGGAAACGGTGGACAGATTATCAAATTTTTTTAGGAATCGCTATGTATCACCGAACACATATGTTTCTGTGTTGGGAAGAGATGGAGAACTAAGATCTGCTATCTGCGAGCGATCTAGACGTCCACTGTGGAACTGGATTTCTCGTTTCTATATATGCGGAGAGCGACGGAATCTCTTGGTTAAAGTTTTTCATCGAGACAACGAAGGTGACAAGGTTGGTATAAATTGTTATCATTGGCACAGGTCGACGTTGAATAGGGTTGGTAAAGCTTCTTGTTAGGTTCACATATAACTTCATCTAATCAACCTACGTTCTCTTGCTAGCTCGTGGATTTGGAGCTTGCATTCATACAAGATCATAAGTTCCTTAACAGCATAGTAGTTATTTTCTCTTAAAAAACTTTGGGTATACCTTCTTTAGCGAAGATTACCAAAGTTC